ATGCGTCTCAAAACGTACCGTCCGGTGCGGGACGACGGATAAGCTGAGTCGACGCGGTGAACCACGATATCGTGCGACGAGCGGGTGTCTTTTACGACACGCGGGATAGCAGGCTGACGGCGGACATCTTGCAGCGACGCGAGCGGAGAATCTTGTCGCGGTACGAGCGCGGATCTTGTGTCGACGCGAGCGGAAATCTTGTCGCGGCACGAGCTGAGATCCTGTCGGCGCGAGCGGAGATCTTGTCGCGGAGCTGGCGGAGATCTTGTCGCGTGGCCCGCCACCCGGTTCGACGTTTTCTTCGCGGATGTAGACACGTGTGGTTCACCGGCCAGCTACAGACGTACTTTACTGCGCTTCCGGCGGCGCCGCGACGCGAGGATGAAAAACCATGCCAATTGATTTCGATAGATATGCGGGTCGATGTGCGAACGCTCGCGAAATTTGATTGGTCGCGAAGCGCTTCTAGAATCGCGCATGTGGTCGATAAGAACGGGATCGCGGTAGCGCTTCCTCATCCGTCGCAAAGGGCTCGCCGTGCGCGTGAACTCGCCCAATCCGGAACAACATGTGCGATATTTTTATTAATATCCCTTTTCATATATAATACGATACTTACTCGAGGACTATTGTGACTTTCGTGCTTCGTGGCGCTACCCCGGGGGGGGGGGGGTGTCGTCACAACACTCTGGGAGGGGGCCCCGGAAAACGCACTGTTCCTTCCAGGACCACGTTATACTACATACATAAATAAATATACATACATACATACATTATATACATTATATACATTATATACATTATATACATTATATACATTATATACATTATATACATTATATACATTATGTTATATTCGGTAATGTCTCCACGGCAACGTATCGGTTGAATTCGGCACGATATATCGCTTATCGTCGTACGGACTCAGAGCGATCTTCGTTTCGCTGATAGTGTACACTTCGTGCATTTTCGATCTTATGCACGACTGTGGTCGAGTCATTTCGATCTCATCGTTCAAACACCGCGTGTAGTCGTCGAACGTAATGGTACGCGCGATGACGTTGCTTTTGACACCTTTCGCTTTTTTAGTGTCATTTTTGCCATCGACTCGCAAGGCGTACATTTTCGCCCTAAGTCCAACGAATTCGATCATGATCGCACCGTTGTTTTCGTCCTTCATTAGGCCCGGCACTTTTTTATTGACGAGAGGCATATCATAAGCGTTATCTACCGCGTAATCACTCGTGTCGAACCGGGCTATATCATGTTTCATGTTCTTATACGCGTCGTCGCCCACATGATATGATAAATCAAACTGTCCGTGTCGGTATACATGATTCTACACGAGTCGCGGTACAGGGGAGACATGTATTCATGGTGAAATTCGTATAGGCACACCTTCGACAAGTCGAGGATGCACATGCCGACGTAGATCGGTTTGTCAAATTTCACCTCGAGTTTGCGCAGTTCGATGGCTACCAGATTTTCCGAAAACACGCTCCTGCTGTGGAAATTCGGTCGCGCGATCATTGCCTCCGCACAGTATCTATCCTCCCACTTCGTAACTAATTTTACATCGACGTGGTTTTGTACATTCTCCATTGTTTTCCCAAAAACAGCGTTATTCATTAATTTATATAACGTTTTTTCGAACTCATTTTTTGCCTGTGTCCTGAATTTTGTATTGAGTTCGATGTAAGAACGGAGCCACTCAGATTGAGTGAATTGCAATACGCGATGTATTTTAGTGATGCGAAGGCCATGGCGCATGCACTGCTGCAGATTGTGATAATGGATGACATAACGCTCCTTATCGTTCAGCGTGGCGAGAAGTTTGTCCTGCCATTTGCCGGGCAGTTTATCGCGCATCGGACAGAACGGTAAGTCAGCGTGCGCGTCATGTTTATCCTGCGGATACTCGAGATCAACCTCGAGAATATAACCCGTAGGCGAATCCAAAGCGATCGCGTTAACGTCGAAATTTGACGTGTCTTCGACCCATCGAAACTCCGCGTAGGACAGTGGCTTACACATCGCCCAGCCGTACAAGTTGTTGACATCGAAGTACATTAGGTACGACGACGGTTTCGATGAATCGTACGACTTCATATACTTGTTGTTGGCCTTCGCGTATCTGCCGGAACATTGACTCAGGCCGCCGCGAATACCACGTTCGATAAACATGACCATGTCAACGTCGGTTAGCAGTTCAAAATTGATACACGTATGTTTCAACATGGCGTCCCACGTAAAGCCTGGTAAAGTGTAGTAGTACGCGCGATCAAGTCCGTAACTCGCGACGCAGCTGTCGCCGAAATTTTCACACACGTCGGCCAACAGCAAGACATCGGTTTTCAGGTATAGATCGCTGTATTCGCCCAGGGTTCGAACGGAAAATCGTTGCCATACGTTCACGGCGTGCGCGTAATCGCTCTCGGATACGGTTTCACCGGTCAAGGAACTGTAAAATGAATCGCGTGGCGGTAAACACGTATCCTCCAGCTTTTCGACGCTGTCCACGTATTCGTATGGAAAGACACCTTTTCGCGTTAATAATTTGAAATCGTCGTCGGATAACGCGGAAAATTTTGAACGTATAATTTTTAATTTATCATTATCTAGGAAGGATGCTAAATTTGCGAGACTAGCGCTAAGAAATTTATATGAGTCGATAAATCTTTATATCGTTTTGCGAATCAGATTTTTCCGCGGTGTCTTTCACATGTTTAGTAAATGAGATGTACTTTTCCTTTGTTATAGGCAGTACATCGATCTTGCCTTCGAACGCGGCAGCTATCTCCTTAATGATGAAATGTGCGTCATAGCCCGACAGATTGTGGAATACTACTGGGATAAAGTGAGAATCCTTATAATTCAGATTACACGTCGAATGTGCCGGACCTCTGTAACGCCCGGTTAGGTGGCAATAATCGCGTACGCGATTATCATCCGGCGCGAACGGTTCTTTACATATATGACATTTCGTCGCGCTGTGAAATGTCTCCCACTCGTCTCGCGTTAAGTCTACCATGCATACAATGTCGGACAAGATGTTCTTTACGCGATGCGCCAATCCGTTAAGTTCCTCGACGAACCACGCGACGCAGTCGTTATCGCGACAAAATCGATACGTCGATAACGTTTCGTCGTACGAGCACTGTACGTAGTATGCTATACTACATACCCGATGATGTTGATAGGCGTATGACGCGTGTTCCGTATCCGGTTGTGTCTTCTGCAGCACGCACTCCAGATCGGCGTACACCACAAAGGGAAGTCGCTCTTTCCTGTGGTTCTTGAAGCTGAGCCACTTGTTCTCGCTCGGTAGTCGGATTGCACATTTGTTTACCTTCCGACATTCTACAGTGTGAGACTGCAACTTATCGCTCGAACTGAAATAGTGAAAACATCTGCAAAAAACAGAAAATTTTATAAAATTTTTTACACAAAATATAAAATATTTTATATATTATTAAAAGAAGTATATACACTTATCGATCACAAATATACTTTGTATGTCCATGTTTATTAATTTACGAGCTCACAAGACAGGATAGATGCTTAATCCACGCAAAATGTCTAACATTGTTGTCTCGCGGATCCTGCACGTACAGCAGATTCACGTGGTTATCATTCGTGTGGTCGGTAAGCCGTATTGGAAGAACGTTTGAAGTCTTTTTTCCCTCGATGGTATAGACATTGACGGATATATTGTTGAGTTGTTCGAATTTTTTAATTTGACTCAACGTCATTGGGAACTCAATGTACATTCAGTACCGTTGAATAATGCGGGTATGAAGATTCCCGTTCTGAATGTCTTTCAGTTGGATGCAAGGCGGCTACCACTGACCACGAAAAACACGCATTGTCCATAGACAGCACATTGATCACGGCGTTCTTCAATTTAATGTCTTGAGGCAATTTCACGTGACATCCCGCGCGTAAAGGATTGTACTTGTTGACGCTCACCGTCAAATTGAGGATTCAAGTCAACGCCCACCCACTGTCGTGTTCCTGGAACTCCTCGAGTTTCGCTAATGTGGGCTCGATAACATGTAGCTCGTACCACTCGCGCAAGTGCGATGTATCACAGAGTTCTATGTTATTTGAACATATACTCTTATTGGCACGTTTATCACCCGCCACAAACTCCCCGTTGAATGCAGTGTTCACTTTGACATAGTTATATATTTTTATAATGTTTCGCACTTGCACACGACACTGCAGGCGTCTTCCAAAAACTGTTGCGGTTTTATATGGTCTGTATTAATTACCGCACCGGTCACTATACGCTTTTTTAACCCGGCGTCGATTTCTCGCCATACGAGTTCTGCCGCGCGCGTGTCGCCACTGGTACCGGCGTTCGCATAATCACCACCGCTATGGATAAATTGTCTTTCCAATCGCGACTTTACACCCTCGAGTCGCGCGATTCGGGCAACCAACGATTGCCTCTGCCCGATTGTTGGATTGTCGGAGAGCCGCTGACGTTTGGCACTACAACGTGTCTCGAGCTGCTCGACGAATTCCGCGCATTGCAGCGCCCATGTGAAAAATTCACCCA